TAATCAGCGGTAAATCTCCATCACCTGCGTGCTTTCACATTGAGCAGCATTAACTACACCGAGCCGTTGTGCACTGACGAGCTGCGCAAAAAATCGCGCAAATATGAACGTGGTTTTGCGCAGCTCGTCTGTGCACAACGGCTCGGTGTAGTTAATGCTGCTCAATGTGAAAGCCCGCAGGTAATTGAGATTTACCGCTGATTACAGAACCGGCTTTACTGATAAGATGCGAGTTAAATATCGCATGCGATTTATCGTGCAGCCCTAATCCCTACACAGTGTTAATTGCTCCCTACTCCCTGAGCAGGGGAAATCCGTTGGAAGTTTACTTCACTTCGGAACATGGGCTGGAATTGGGAACCACTGATGTAGCCTATTGTAGTAATGTTGTCTCTGGTCTGTGAGCTTAAATGCGTTCAGGGGGGTGGGATGTTCGCTTTCAGTGCAATTAGGCTAAAGTTAGCATTTTCCAAGATCCCCTACTGCACCTTTAAGATCTGAAACAACAATCATGAACCTTGTTTAAAATAAACTTAAGACGTGTTAAGTATTATTTTTGTACTATTATCATTTTTATTAATATTTTGAATTTCCTTTTATGCTTTTATGTTCACTTGTAATTAAAAAAAGTATTTATATATATCTTAAATTTATTTTATTTTTTTTTGTAATTTTAGTATTTCAACAAACTTATTTTAGTTAATTTCCAAGGCAACATTTCTAATTTTTGTGAGGAGTTTTCATCTAATATTTATATTTTATTTTATTTCAGCTGTATTTAAATGACTGAAAAAGAGTTTTAGCTAACAACAGCAACACTGAACTTCAGTCACTCATTGAACTTCGAGATCTTTTAGAAGGATGTGCAGTGCTGTAGGTGCTACATACAACCGGGAACAGCACCGATCAGTTCCCACATTTGACCAACTTCTAGACTAGGTAGGAAGTTTTGAATCCCCAGATTACCATATGTTCTCTTGTAGTACAGTCTACATCTTTACGCAGAAAAATTTGATTTATGTCCTGTCCTCTCAGTTTCTCTTGTGTATTCAACATGTCTCTTTACTCTAATGGGAAATATGTTTCTGAAGTGACATTATGAAGGAGAATAAGTGTTCAGTCAATCATTTCTATGCAGTTGTAGTATTAGGCCTCACAGTGGCCAGTGGTTGAGATGATGGGGTATAAGGTCTGTGGTGTTACACACACAACTGTAACACTGGCATGAACTTGTTTTGACCCAGACTGCAGATGGAGAGAGATAGAGGCTGTCAGATCTTCCTAGCCCTTTGGTGTGGAGTGCTTATTGAATAGTAAAGAGCAGCTGTTATGGAACCTGATTTGAAATTGATCTGCAATTGAGACTGTTTGATTTCAGTTGAGATATACAATTCTATGGCCACAAAAGCTTGTGACTTTATGGTATTTGAAAGACATTTCCACAAAAACAAAAAGGCTTTTTGGTGTCTATCTGACAGCTGAATCAGCCGGTTGACTGATTTACCATGGTTGAGGGACCCCATAACTACAGTGACCAATCGGGTTAAGATCTGCTGTGGGCTAGAACAAACACGTGACACAAGAAATTGAGGGAAATTCCTCCGGCCTCAGAAAATACTTTTTTTAACTTCCCCCTGACCAGTGAAAAGATAAATGAAGTCTTTCAGAATGCATCTGATGTGTCTCTCTCTATTTGATTATGATTAATAATGATTTGGATATGCTAGATTAATTTTAATGTACTTTTGTTTTTTTTTTACACAGGCCACATGATTTCTCCGTTTCCCATTTAGATTGCTAAAGCCATTTACACCCTTGTGTAACTTATGTATTGAATCTTTTTTATTATTATTATTCATAGAAACACCTGCCCAGAGCATTCTTCTTATTTAATGTACCCATCAGAATCCCAGCGCTAGGTTTTTTGTTCTCCATTTGTGTTGTTGTCACTGTGCGCATGGTGTTGTAGCAGGGCGGCTGCTGTGAAACTACATGTAGCAATATCTGGTCAGCACATGACATCATGTGACAGCGCTGCGGATGGCCCTCCCCTCAGGTATTTGTTCACAAGCTCCCAAGAGAGCTTCTGCCTGAGTCAACAACCCCTTTAAAGGCATTTGCTCACAATGGGAGAATTCTGGCTGTTTCTACATGCGCTTTCAACTTTGTTGAATGATACTTACTGCAGCAAGTAATTTTTTTTTTCTTCTCAGAGGCTAATTCTGGGATCGGGGAGATGATTTAAACCCTTTTTTCCACTAATTACTTGCTGAACATAATTAAAAAGGCGTACTTCATGTTACTATCTAATAAGCTTGAAACGATTCCCTTGTGGAACCAGAGGCCCTGAAGACGTATGTAACACTATTAAATCTTTACCAACCTGATGGTGATTGTCATTTTTTTTTCCCTTCTCTTCCTGTTATTTTTTTTGTCCTCCAATTTTTGCCCCTTCTAATGATGTTGAGCTAATTTTCCGTCCCTTAATAGTCTTCAAAAAAGTTTGTGATGATTGCTTCATACCATTTTGGGGATTCTGGCACCATTTGAGTTTCTAAAAGTGTGGATAATAAGAAGAAATGTAGCCTGAGCAGCAAATCGGCATATTAGATTGATTTTTGAAGGATCATGTGACACTGAAGGTCACTGAAGAAAATTAAGCTTTGCCATAATAAATTACATTTTAAAATATATTTAAATAGAAAACACTTATTTTAAATTGTAATAATATTTCACAGTATTACTGTACTTACCATGTTTTTGATCAAATAAATGCAGCCTTGGTTAGCATAAGAGACTTACTTACAAAATATTGAAATATACTGACCCCAAACTTTTGTACGGTAGAGTACTTTATATTTTTGCTAAATTTAATCTTCTCTGGAATGCCTAATGTTATATTTTTTTCCTCATTTAGTCTCTTGAGATCACTTTATGTGTGCTGATTCAACTGTCCCTTATGTCTCCACTTGGTGTTCAACTTTCATGAACTTTTTAATGGACAGTATAAGAGTATAAAGAGTATTGTGGGATCAATTAGATCTTTCCCCTTGTCATTACTGAGAAGGCCAGGATGGAGATGGCCGAATAAAACTTATATCCAACTCTTCATTTTTCAACAAGCTTGCAGAGATGGATCGCTCTCATATGGTAGTTCACTTAAGCTAATTGCCTGAAAAACATGACCGCTCCGTATGGTCTCATTGTGTTTTACTAACTATAGCACAACTATCTATCTTCTTTCTTTAAAAAAAAAACTCAAATTCATCAGAAGAATGTTCATTTGAAAGGTGCACATATGGCAAACCACTATCAACCATGTGAACAGTATCTTATTTTGGAGGTGAACTATTCATTTGCATTGATATCCATTGCCTGTCCTTATTTCTTTTTGGACAATTTATAAGCAAAGGCTTCTCTATATGGGTCCCAAGGACATAAGCCATGAATGCCACCCGATCGTTGACCTTTGTGGGTCTTCTCAGTAACACCCAAGCGCGGTTGGTCCTCTCGGAGCCGGTGCCGGCAAGGTGTCGTTATTAAGAATAGCCACACTCTTCCTGATAGGTCTGGGAATGCTCAGCTGTATCTTTGATTGGCTGATAGCTCTCTGATAGAGGACAGCTCAAGTGCTGTGCTCACAGCTGACAGGGCTCTGCTCTCACAAGACAGACAGGGAAGTGATGTCATAGAATCTGCTGTCATACAAACCTTAATGTTTACTTCAAGGTCAGTTGACGGTGTGGCCTCAAAACATGAAGGTTATTTGCTCAAAACTCTCTAAAAATGTATATAAGTGAGCTAATCACAAGAAACTTGTCAAGCATAAATCTCACCTCAGACTACCAAATAATTTCACTAAACATTATGAAAAATTTATGCTTTTTTCATTTAAAAAAAACCTACAGGGAAAAAAACACATGCATCACTTGAAACATTGAAAAATAGCATATGAGAATAACTGTTATTATTATTATTATTCTCTCTCTGTTATTGATTTATTTTTTGTGGGTTTCATGCTGTCCGCTAAGGCATAGGACACCCGATCCATCTCCCATTCTAAGTTATGTCCTTTGGCTGTTTACTGTTTTATTTCTTTTCTTTTTCTGCTGATGGCCCGCGCTCGACTTGAAGCAGCGCTGCTTAGACCGATTGGTGTGTCAAAACACTGCGAGAGCTATAAGAGAGCGGACGTCTCCATGCTTTCTCTCGCCATGCTTTGATGTCATACACCGATCGATCTTCAAGTCAAACACACCTCTTTACTCTCGCGTGTCACGTGACCGAGTGTAATCGCAGCCGCTTCGATTGAAAAATCTCGTTTTTTCATATCGCGATATTATCACAAATGCAATTAATCGTTCAGCCCTAAATAAAATCGCACATCAAATTGCAAATCAGTCAATATTAATAAGGTTTTGACGTGTACTGTATTGCATTGCTTGTGTTGAGCCTTGGATGAGATCATGACTGGATGATTCTGCTCTTCCACAGACTGAGAGAAGTGAATAATGCGCAAAGATTTCCACTGGTCCCACTGCTGCAGAAATGCCCTGAGGCTGAGTCTGGACTGAAGCCAAGGTGAGCTTAGCAACCTGTGATGAACACACAGTCACTTTCTCTCACACTTTCCCCTATCAGATTGTTGGTTAATTCATGACATTGAAGGTCTAATGTGTGTTTATGAAACTACATAGTGAGAAGATGAAGAAAACACTTGTGTGATATACTGCGAAACAATTGAAAGTGTGAGTTGGTGTGGTTTGTGTGGGAGGCTTGACGTCATTTCCTCCCTGTATTTGGTTTGAGCAGCAAAAAAGGAACCTTGTTTTCTCTCTTGTTTGCATCCTTGATCACTTCCATTTTTCCTTCTGTCTTTTATTCCTCTAAAACAATGGTTTCTAACTTTTAAAAGCTCAGACTCTCAGCCAAACCATGGACCCCTGTTTTAAAAATATGGATTTTTGTGTCAGTAACACTTTATAATCACTTTCATTAAAAAACTTTAACCTGTTAACCAGTGAAATAAGCCCAAGAAATGACATCCCCAAACACTGTAGCTTCTTTTGAAAGAGGGGGTTTATCGTATGTTTTACTTTTTATTTATATTTTATGTATTTAAATGTTTTATACAAATGTATTAAAACATTTCCATTTTAACATTTATTTTTACAGTTAATAACATTAAATGTTTATATTTTTACTTTATATTACTGGTATACATTCACAGATTAAATCAGTAGTTTGATTGTATAACTCTAGTAAGTGGCACTCAGAATAGCAGCCGCAAGTGAGCATGTGTTTGGCTGCTTGTGGATGACACAGTCGCCACCTGCTCTGCTTGAACCATTGCTCTCTACTGTCATGTGACTGAAGAGCAGGGTGTTGTCTTGGTTTAAAAGAAGAGCGCTCGCTGTGAGCAGACAGTCAGAGAGGAGGAATTTTCAAGCATTTTCATTGGTTGTGTATGTAGCAGGGTAGGAGGGGCTGTTGGGGCTGGATTTTCCTGTACGGGGAGGGCAAGGGAAGCTGGGGGTGGGGCAGCTGTAGCTGCTCAGATGGGATTTGCATTAGTAGTTTGTCAGCTGTCATTAGGAACAGATGACAGTGAGAGGATAAGCTGTTTGCACACGGCTCTCTCTCCTCCTCCTCCATGAACTGACCGTTGCGTACACCTTAGAAAAACCAAAAGCAAAGTGTTTCATTTTGATGCAAGCAAGTAGGGCGTGAAATTTTAGCTGACGGTTAATTGTCATTTCAGTTAATCGAGATTAACAGTTTAATTGTCTGTTTTGTTCTTGTCACTTATATTGTGAGATTAATACGCATACTCTTCAGGAAGCAACTTTTTCACAATGAACTTGGAAGAATATAGTAAAATTATTGCTGTAAAATTAAGGCTACTGTAAATGAGTAGAATAATAAGATTTGAAATATTAAAATAAAATATGTATTTCTTGGTCCATTTTGCTCATTGCCTTTTTTGAATACTTTAAAAATCTGAGAATGATATTGTCATAACTGTCCTTTGAATGAGTGTATGATGGTTAACAGTTTTTAAAAAATATATTTGTCATTTTCTCATCTGGAGGTGATGAACCGCATACACTATATTTGTGCCATTAACTTTGTGTGAGAACGTGTAACAGCCACAAATATTTGCCATTATGTAAAACAGTTTATTACAAACCACCGCAGACTGTATGTGTTCATATTAGGTCCCATCAGAAGTGTCTATAATGCACACGTTTCTCAAGATGTGCTCTGAGCAGGTTTTGTGATTCACACAACACATTACAGCAACAAAAAAAGAGAAATAAAATGTGGCATTTGATTTAAAATTTGGCTGGAAATATGTAATTGGAATTTCAAGTGCACAATCATAGTATCCAGATGATTATGTAAGAATCATGAAAGATCTTCGACTGACTTGTTTTCTCTATGTGCATTCCAGCCCATGTGTCGGGTTATGCTGAGTGTTGCATGCGGTGTCAACTCCTCAGCGTTGTCCATATCTTGCAAAGACACTCTATATATATATATTAATGCAAGTTAACCATGTCATCCACACATCTATAGCCCTTAAAGGAACCTATCCTGTATTTAGAAATCACCGTCACTTATAAATAAGCCTTGAACAGTTAACCGTGCAGCACTTAAAATACTTGCACATTGACTAGGCAGTGTAGTTACATCCCACAAATACGTATTGCAGATGTAAATTCAGACGTCAAATAGCTGACTCCGTGATGTACGTGTGCTATCAGGGGTTGTGTTATTATTCAGGTAACTAGCTGTAACCATGTTGATGAGATCTAACTTGCTCTGCAAGATTCTTTTCAAACTGTCGCTGCATCATTACAGCAGTTGACCTGAAAAAGAAAACAAACAGTAGACATTTAATGCTAATGCTAATGCTAGAGCCCAAATGTAGTTGAGAGTGTTTTCCTATGCATTATGCATTAGCAGTGATATTGGATATTTTTTAATCAGAATTAGTCAGTTTTTTGTTTTGTTTTGTCCTACAGGAATGAGTCCTAAAACACCAAAACAAGTTAGAGTTTTTGTTGGTGAAATTTGCCTGAAATAAAGTGTGTGGTTTACACAAGCTCAAGATATTTTCACATTTATTCTATGGCATAATATTCAATGTCTTGAAAAAGGCAGTTGCTAAAAAGTGGCTAAATGGGACTACAATGTTTGTCAGGGACAATAAATATCATGACGCCGAACAGGAAAAGTCATCTACTCACTTGTCTGATTTTACAGCCTTGTTGCGTTTCTACTCATGCTCGTGCAAACTACTCGAACTCGAACTTTCCAAATTGTAGATTTTAAATAAAGATTGAAAGAGTTGTCAGCAGCTCTGTGTGATGATGATGTTGAAGTCATGCGATTGTGGTTTAGTTAATTTATAACTTCAGCTTTTTATTTCTGCCGACTATATTTAGGGTATAAAATTCATAGAAGTTGTGTTTATTTGTTAAGATTATCTTGATGAACGTGTAAGAATCATAAACCCTTTGGTCATTGAGCCTCTTTTCTATAATATTCCAAAAGCCAATGGAAAAATCATACTGCTTTTTTTTTTTTTTTTTTGAGGGATCCAGGGTGATGCCAACTTCCAGGTTGGCTTACAAAAATCATCCCTGCAGCACTCTATTCGCTAAACACTGGACTAGTTTGGACTGGTTGACATTTGTATTTACAGAAACCTTTAAAAACTACAGTTAGCTTTCTGGGTGTGGCAAACACATCTTGCTCAACTAATGTTCAATATTATTTAGTGTAGGTTAAGTGGTTGTATTAGAACATCAGTGTGAGGCAGCTGTTTACAACACCCTTGTTCCATAAACTCTTTCTTTTAAGTAACTCAGAGAGGCTGGGACACAAGTTCAGAATTTTTCGACCAAACACGGAGGTGGTATTTAAGCTCGTCGGCGATCTAATCTTCCGAGCTCGGTTTGTCAGCTGCAGAATGTGGACCCTCCCACCTAGTATGCACTAGAGAAGTTTATTGATTTTTCTCACTGCCTCTGTGCCTCTTGTAACCCAAAACCCATCAATACACACCAGAGATTTAACCCCCTCTGTTACACTTTCAGTTATGGGAATATACAGTGGTGTGAAAAAGTGTTTGAAGAGAAGTGTTTGCCCCCCTGTTAAAACTGTGGTTTATCACACCTGAGTTCAATTTCTCTAGCCACACCCAGGCAAACATGCAAAAAAATAAGAAATCAGGAAGGGGGCCAACACTTTTTCACACCACTGTAGTTAACCCATCATTTCGAAATGTTCCGACAGGCTCAGTGCTAGAGCAAACAGTACACTTCTGATGGACAGATAAGGGAAATCCATTCAAGCCACGAGCGTCCTGTGCCCGCGAGCCGCTCCAGATCCGCCGTTTGCCGCTTAATGTGTTTATTATACAGTGCTCTCCCTGTGGCAACTTGAAGTGGCTGTCAGTTTAAAAGATTCATGAATATGATCAGCTTTGGTAAATGGACGTTGGCTTTTTGGGCCTGCTTGATGCTGGTACTTTAAGACCATTACGTTCTCAGTAATTGTAGAGCTTATGAGTGGCAGGAACATCTCTCTTTCCCTCTCTCAGTCTAGCCATCTGGGACAGTGGCTGGAGACCAGGCCTGCGGCTCTGGGGAGGAGAGAATGTCAATCTCCCCTCCTCCTCTCTTCCTCTCTCTCTCTATCTCAGTCATATGCTCGTTGCCATCCCCACCCCCCCTTCTCATCCGCCGCTTGTTTTTTTACATTTCCTTGCTAGACTGTTTTCAAGTCTTTCACATATTCTCCATCAGCACTGATTGGTTTCATTTCCTTCACTTCCTGTCTCTGCTTGTTCTCGCTAGCTGACGTTTCGTCTTCGGGCTCATTATCATCAGCTGAAGAGGCTGTAAACACAGAATCTCCTGCAAATCTCCCTCAGACACTCGCTACTAATAAAGGCCCATCTGTTCTGCATAACCACGATCCCCATCGGCCTTAGGGATCTCTCCACATTGTCATCAGTAATGTTGGGTAATAGCTGTGGGTTGCTCGCAACAGCTCCACACACTCTTGTGTATTTTGGCTTTGCGAACCACCACCCCCCACCCAGATATATAAGTCATTTCACCTTCGAGTTGGATTCGGGCTCAGTGCCATCAGATGAGCGCGAAGGTTGGATCTACGTGGTGGGGTTTAACATATGATTATGATGCAGTTCCCTTCAGTTTGAATAACGCTCCGGTCCGTATAGGAGGGTCAAGTAAGGACATTGTTCTTTACGGCAAGGCTAGTCATTATGCAAACATTTAACTAATTTCACCTTCGAGCTGGATTTGGGCCCGGTGCCATCAGATGAGCACGAAGGTTGGTTTTACATGGCGAGCTTTAACATATGATTATGATGCAATTCCCCTCGGTTTGAATCGTGCTCCGGTCTGTATAGGAGGGTCAAGCAAGGACATTGTTCAAGGCTAGTCATTATACAAACCCTTCAAAGACCCCTGGACCGATGCAGAAGTGGTGCCCTTGCCATGTCCGAGAGCCCTACAAGCACAGGGTGTGTCACCAGTCTTGAT